CCCCCTCTCCACACACACTTAAATACACAAACACACACACATGAACAGACACTGGATGGACATACAAAAGAATAGCCTGATTCTTAAAATCACTTTGGTTTTACAGGAGCCAACATCAGGGTTAGACTACAGCACCTCCTGGTCACTTGTGTCCACTCTGAAACACGTGGCCACTCAGTTCAACAAAACTGTTGTGCTGACCATCCACCAACCATCCAGCAAGATTTTCTTCCTCTTTGACCAGTTGCTTCTGATGTGTGATGGACAGGTAGGACATGGCAGATTCTGGGCAACCTCTTAGCAATGAAAATTTGATGAAATTGTTGTCACAAGAACGATTGTTGGATTTTTTTATTTTTTTTTATTGAAGGGGAGGGGGAGGGGAGGGGGAGATTTATGGTATTTACATAAAAATAATTTGTTGCAATGTTTTGTAGCAGAAGTAATTTTTATGCTTTGCAATCTGCACATGAACTGGCAAAAGTAGTGACTGATAATGGTACTGGTATAGGCCTACCCTTTGCAGGTTGCAATTCTACTTGTCCCTTCAGAGGTCTGAAATAGTAGACTAGCATGAACAAACTGGTCTTGGACACAATCTATTTAGGCTAGATAATAACTGCCAGCTCAAAAATTTGGCCAAAATATGGGTGTGCTAGAAATGGTAAACAGTCAGTCAGTCATGCAGTCTAAGGTTTCTTAAATGCTTTGACATTTCTTTGGAACTCAAAAACCTTTATGTTAAATATTTTTACAGTACGGAAAGAAGTTTCTTTGACCATCTAATTTTTAAAATAATAAATTAGTACCTATAACTTTCTGTGAGCTTGTAACTTTTTTATGCTAGCATCTGCGGTGTGTTTTTCAGCATAGCATCTAATTTTGTTATTATATGCCTAAATTAGTAGGCCTATCTCTAACTTTCTGTGAGCTTGCAACTTTTTAAAATTTATAACAAAATAGCTTTTCATTAGCATCACCGGTGTGTTTTTTAGCATTGTGTTTTCATACTAATTTCAACTCATGAAGTTACACAATGTGGTTGCTGTCAAGGATAAGGACTGCTTTTTCAAAACTAGGTAGGCATATAAAACTGCTGCTAAACTTTGATCGTCCTTTGATAGGCTTGTTCATTTTAGGTTTTGGAACATGTTTTCTTTAATAGTTAACTTTTTTGTTTGGGACAGAAAATTAAAGAGGTATTCTCAAATTATATTCAAAAGGAAATAAGCTGTGACTTTTAATAGTTCTAAGAGTGTTTGAGGGGCTAAGATGCCTAATCCGCTAGGCCTACATCCATTTTATCACTTTTGAGAAAATCAGCTATATGAATGAACATGCATAAAAAGATAATGTTTTTGTGGCTTTTAGGAAGTATGTGTTGGGTTTTGGCCGAAAACACTTTATTGTGCATCTGATAGCCGGTAACACATGTGCATTTTTGACACAAAAATCTCAATTTTTACCTAAATGTCGCTTAACGGGTTTTGCATCTCACCCCTCGTTTGCATTTTTATTTTTCTCCTCAGGTGGCATACTATGGAAGATGCCGTGAGGTCATAGACTTTTTCAGTGAGCTTGGTTTTCAGATTGATTCATTCACGAACCCAGCAGACTTCATAGGTAATGTCTACAATTCTAAATATTGTGTTTTGATTAACCATATCAAGGCTTAATGTTGTCTTTTACAATTTTTACACTGTTTTTGTGCCAGTTGTCATTATAATACATCTATTGATAATGAATATAAAAAATGTACCTCCTCTTTCCTCCTCCTCCCATTTTTCCTTCAATGTGAAAAACCTGCCATGCCTATAATTTATGATTTTTATGAATTGATAACTCTCACACAGAAGATATTATCCATGTTTTCAAGAGTAGAAATATCATCCCTTCTTCAAACGAATAACAAAAAGTAGTTAATTGCAAGTGGTTATGAGAGATTTCACAGCACAACTTTTTCAAGGGAAATAAGCAATGTCTGTACTATCTTCATGGTGATTGGCTCAAGTGTACATCCCCTTCTCCATGATCATGACTTGTTTCTGACTTGTGCCAAGGACATAATACACCTTGAACCCAAACCGAGATAATGTTGCTATTCTTCAACACTAGCAGTGTTCAAACCTTGGTACAGGAATCAGGAGAAACAATTTTGCTACTGAACAATCTAAACCCTTCCATTTTTAGCAGCCAATCCGACAACAAAAAAGATTAAGTGCTGCTAAGAGGAAATGCTTAACCCTTTGAGCCCTAACCTCTTGAGGCTACCGTGCCCTCTCTGCCTGAGCTCCTGAGTGATATTGCTAACTTTCATAAGAGCATGAGAATCACTTTCCATATCCCACTCAGGGTAGTCCTCATCATTACCAGTAGGGCCTATCTAATTCAGAAAGATCTTTAAAAAATTCACTGGCAACCTTTGTGGTAAGCACTGTTTATCATATGCATTTTGTTCAAGGCTGGCCAGGTTGGAAATAGAGTCTCGCTCACTGGTGTACCAGTGGCAAAAGCTCAAAGGGTTGAAAATAACAGCATAAGCAACAAAATTCCGGCAGGTCCTAAAATATTGTCTGTTTCTCAATGGCAGCTCAGTACAGGGCACGATTCACAACCCACAGAGTTTTTAAGATGATGGCAACTGCTAATTCATAATACAGTTTAAGACAGGGGATCTCAAACAAATTACTTTATCAACACATAATGACCTACTGGAAGGTGTTTTACTGTCATTATTTTCTTTCCCCAGTGGACAAGCTGAAAGAAAGTGAAGAGAACAAGCAGAAAATCATCGATGCAGCAAAGTTATGCTCGTGAGTATTGCTGCTCAGACACAAGTTTTGCCTCTAGGGGCCGTAGATACTTGTCAAGTGTGTATAATGCATGCATAATATAATATAAAGGCTATACATTGTTATGTAAAACCATGAACCATTACTCTCCCTTGGTGTTTTAATTATTCGACAAGATGGAGCTTTCTTATGACAGCAGTGGTGAGAGAATAACTTAGTTATAGAACCTTCACCTTTCATGAGATGGTAAATCATGCTGATGCTAACATGCTAAAGTACAAGATGTGTTGGTTCAGTTTTTATCTCCATTCCACGGAATATAGACATTAAATTGGAAGCCGTGTGTCTGAAATATACTTCCAGTGTTGATAGTGATGGCAGTGGATGGTTATGATGGTGGTACAATACCCAGTGCTATCAAAGATCAAATTTCCAGGATGTGAATCAATATTTGTGCTTGAATAGAGATTACATGTCTACCCTACAGAAGTAAAGCCAGGAACGGTCAAATGGATGATGGCAATGGCACGGTTAGAGACAACACAAAAGGCCAGGATTCGAACCTCAAGTCACAAACAAGTAATAATGAGACCGATGGTCAACTTTCAGGGAAAGGTAAGATTGATCAGTTTGAGAATATGCATATTTCTTGATTATTGGGTTATTCATGTGTAGACACGAGTGGTTTTTTGTGGATGTGTGTGAGAATGCATGTGTTTGTCTGTATGTGTGTATATGTGTGTGTGTTTGTGTGTGTGTTTGTGTGTGTGTTTGTTTGTGTATGTGTGAAAATGTGTGTGTGTTATTTGTGTGTGTGTGTGTGTGAGACTGTGTATGTGTGACTGTATGTGTGAAACTGTGTGTGTGTATGTATTTGTGTATGTGTCTCTGTGTTTGTGCGTGTGTCTCGGTGTTTGTGTGTGTGTGTGTGTGTGATTGTGAATGTGTGTGGGTGTGGGTGTGGGTGTGGGTGTGGATGTGTGATTGTGAATGTGTGTGTGGGTGGGTGGGTGTGTGATTGTGAATGTGTGTTTGTGTGTGTCTCGATGTGTCTCTGTTTGTGTGTATGTCTGTATGTTAATGTGTCTGAGAGAGATAGAGAAAGATAGAGAGAAAGAGAGAGAGAGGGAGAGAGAGAGAGAGAGAATATGAGCATGTTGCACCAATCACAACAACATTGTGTTTCATCTAACAGACTGTGTTCGAGTGAGCTTGTTGCAGCTGGATGCAGAAGTTCAACATCCTCATGATCCAAGATGGCCATCAGGATACTGGACACAATTCTCACAGCTAATGCTTCGAACATTTCGCCAGTCGAAGACCAGGATTTTAGACAAGCTAAAGGTAAAGAGTAAAGGAATAGAATTCAGAAAAAGAAGATAACTCATTCTACACCACAACATTGTATGTCTTTTTACTAAAAAGATTTGTTGTTAATCAATATCAATAACATTTGTATTGCAATGATAATCTTATATCATCTTTCAAAGAGAAAAATTTTCATTTCTTTATGTAAGTCTTTAACACCAAATTATATGTAGGTTTATATTCTATGGTTACTGTGTACATCCTATACTGAGTTCATTCTATACAGTGTGCATGTCTAAATGTGTGCATGTTTAAATGTGTGCATGAACATTCTATACTGTGTACATGTCTTATTGTCTGTTTCAGATTATTGAAAGTGTTGTTCTCTGCATCCTCGTCAGCCTTATTTGGTTTCAGTTACCAAGAACTGAGGAAACCCTGTATGACAGAATGGGAGTCGTAAGAATAATTTAGCTTTATATAATATATAACAAAATGAAAAATGAATTCAAGGTGGTGGCGATGGTGGTAGTGGTGGTGCTGGATGATGACGGTGGTTGTGGTGGTGGTGGATGATGATGGTTGCGGTGGTGGTGGTTGTGGATGATAGTGGTGGAAGTGGATAATCATCATAATAGTAATGATGATGGTATATGAGTCCTGCAGCTCATGAGCTCTCAGGCGCTCCTCAATTTTGGGGCATATGGAGTTATTGGTATCATCTTAAAGCCTGTCCATTTGCCTTACTTTTGAAGAAAAAAATATCCATTTATCTTGGATACAAGTCAAGATATTGGTGATTGAAGGAGGTGGAGGTCGGCTGGTTTCAGAGGTAAAATTGAGAGAAAAGGACTGCCTAAGTTGAGTGATATCCATCTAAAAATGTATATCTTTTATGCCTTTAATCTTCGTTTTTCAATATAATCCACACAGAAATCTGTTTTTTTAAAGGGCATGAAAGATGTTGAGCCAAAAAAAACAAAATTCGATAAAAATCCCCAAACCTGCTGAAAAAAGCCAGTTTCTTGACTTTCATTATTTTGATGAGCGCTTGATTTCACCACGTTACCTCACATGTAGATTGTAAAGCACATAGAGCTTACTGTTGAGCGGGATATTGTACTATACAAATGCTAGGCCTATCTATTATTATCTATTATTATTAATGCCTTTGTTTCTCCCCCAGCTATTTTTCATCAGTATCCACTGGGGCTTCACTCCTCTCTTTGATGCAGTGTCTTCCTGTGAGTGGTCTGATTTCCTCAAACATACACTATTGTTTGTTTAAAATACGGATGACCCTGCTCTTATGGCCACCTGTCCAAGACAATTACTTTATACAAATGACCACTTCCCACTTCCTCCTTGTGTTTTTTCTTAATTATAATGACTCTGTCCAAGTCGTCCTTCTATATCTAAGACAACCAATTTTTTCATCGATAATAGGTAGCCGTCTTGAACAATTTCAACTGTATCATTCCTGATCAGAGATAAGTCTGTTCATATGTTATTGTTATTGTTAGTAGTAGTCGTATATTATAGCAGTAGTAGCAGTAGTAGTATATTATAATAGTAGCAGCAGCAGCAGCAGCAACAGCAGTAGCAAGGAGTAGTTGCTGTAGTGGTAGTAGTAGAAGTAGTAGTAGTCGTAGTAGTATTGTTTTTTCCTTTTGCTATCCCCAGTTCCCATGGAGAGAATGGTGATTCACAAAGAGAGAGCCTCGGGTTGGTATCGCCTCTCAGCCTACTACCTGGCTAAGATGACCAGTGAACTTCCACTGACCCTGCTGCAGCCATCGTTGTTTCTTGCCGTGGCCTACTGGTGTGTGGGTCTGCATGGAGTCGGGCCCTTCTTCATGTCGCTGCTTGTCATCATGGTCAATGCTCTCGCTGGGCAGGTCCGTCTCTTGTCTGTTTGTTGTTTTTGTTTTTGTTGTTTGTTGTACAGCTGTTGTTGGTGGGGATGGTGGTGATGATGGTGGTGGTGGTGGTAGTGTTATCAGTGTCGCAAACACACTTGCTGGGCAGGTGAAAATCTGTCAACTATTATTGTTGTTGTTTGCATTAGTCATCTCATCTTCATTGGTTATGAAAGACCTGTCCAGCTTTTGATTGTTTTTGTGATTTTGGCTGGGCAAGTGAGAGCTTCTCAACTGTTTGTTGTAGCTGTTGTTCTTGTTGTTGCTTTAGTTGTTGAAATTGAAACTCTCTGAAGAGCAACACATAATCTTGGTAAGGCTATGCACTGACCACAAACGGCTCCAACACTCGATCAAAGCAAATGTGAAGCGAGCTGACAAAATGTTACTTCTCGGATTCAAGCTGTAAGGAAATAGATACATCACGCTTATAGGTGAAGTTTTTACAAGTTATAAATATGACGTAATAAAAGACAGGTTACAGTTAAAGAATATGGCATCAATAGAAAATCTGCAAATTTTGATCCTAATGTCAATTATTGGCCAATATATCCATTTGTGGATTGTAAGAAGTAACTCATTTATTTGTCAGCACACCTCACAAATGTAGAGGCTGGCACAGACACAATCCTGCCACTGCCTGCTGAGAAGACAAGATAATGTCTGACATTGAATTGTGCTGCAGATGGCTTTGATTCAAGTCCCCGTTGTGGTGCTATCAAATTTGGGTTGTTCAAGGAGTTTTCAAGGCTATCCACCCATGTGACTCAGTTCTATTGCAATATTTCCATTCCAAGCTGCGTTGATGGGCGAATAAAATACCTACATGTGAAAAAAAGATTATTATTTCTGGTGTTCTCCGAATTTGGAGGGTTTTTCCTCTTAAATATCCTTTACTAAACCCATACCATACTGTACCATACCATACCATACCATACTGTACCGTACCGTACCATACCATACCATACCATACCGTACCATACCATACCATACCATACCATACCATACCATACCATACCGTACCGTACCGTACCGTACCGTACCGTACCGTACCGTACCGTACCGTACCGTACCATACCATACCATACCATACCATACCACACCAGACAACAGTTAGCTGATAAATTTTTTGTGAAGTGTCTCCAACTTTCTGAAGATCTCTTTCTCCTGTTTTTTCAGAGTATTGGACTTCTGTTGGGAATCATCTGCATGGATTTTCGACGGGCTATGGCAATGGCTACAATATTCATTATGGCCATTATGCTCCTGGGTGAGTTTATTAACTGGCAGCCTTTCTTTCTCGAATTTCTGGACACTTGTTTGACTTTTGCTCTATGTAACAATGATTCTTCACTTTTACGAGTTATATTTCTTTTTCTTCAAAATTGTTCTTCCTCTCACCTCTTCAACTCATCTTTGACTCCCATTCATATTCTGTTTATGCAACTTTTATCCTTTATTTAATTTAATGTTTTCTTTCTTTACCGCGAACTCTTTTTTTCACCTTTTGGTTTTTGTCACAATTGCTGGGGGGTTTTCTCAAGGTTTTTTTTTCCTCTGTCCCCCTCCTCATCTTCCTTCTCCTCCTCATCATCATTATCTTCATCATCATAATCCCATCCGTATCATCTCTTGGGTAGCTCATTTTAATTGTATTGTACATATCAGGCGGGGTTCGTCCGTAGAGAACGGTCGTGCAGTGCCGCCCAAAAAATTTTAATGTTCTATTGCGTAAAACACCCACAATAATAAACTAAAACAAGCCAGAAACAAACACTAGCCAAATATTATATGAAAACAAGGTCCTCACTGGCGCCATAACTGTCATTTCTCTGTCTATAGCGCCGTAAAACATCTACTATGCCATGCCAAAGCCACGCGCTTTAGCTAAACATGATAGGATATTCAACAGTGTAACCTGACCTATAAATCGCCCTTGGGAATAACCCAAGCGATGACGACACTCATAGCGAGTTTGACGATACATTAATATTAATAAGACGGCACATCTCAAATGTGCTCCTGCCGAACAGTGCCAAAACATAGCCCACAGTAGGCAGTCTAAAAATAAACGCAATAGACCGTACACTATTCTTTGCCAATATTATGTGACCGGCGGAGCAATCCAGCGGAGTGCTCAAGTGAATTGTGATTGGTTCATTGTCTGTCTTGCCACTATTTTATGTGACTCTGTCACCGTGAACCAGAGGGAGATGAACGTGACCGTCCTATGAGTTGTGCCTTTGAAAGGTTTTGTAGCGGAGTAGTGAAAGTTATTTCTTGAGTGCTCAGTTCCAATACAGAATGAATGAAATTGATGGTTAGCTAACAAACAAATTTAGTACTAGAAATCAAAGCGACAAGTAAAAAGAATGAAAATAAAAGCACGAGGTCTTTCCCTCACCAACCCAAAGATCCTAAAATTATACACTGTCTCATTTACTATGCCCTTGACTATCTTCAGCATGAAATAGCTTAATTGTACACGTCCACTTTTTAGCCCCACAAGCCGCCCCTGGTACATATATCTACTCCATGTGTCAACATTTTTAGTCAGTCATTCATTGCCTGTATGTTCTCCAGGTGGTTTCTACTCTCGCAGCCTCCCAGTGTGGTTAGACTGGATCAAGTATTTCTCCTTCATCAACTACACATTCCACTCCCTTCTTTACTTGGAGTTCTCAGGAGCAGATCCATTTGAGTAAGTAATTCTCCAGTGTGCAACACATTCTGAAGGACCAGAAGCATATTGTCATATTTTCAGAATCATCCCAGAATTGTCTAAATAATTTTCTGATATTTTTTCCAGACAGTTTGTGTACCATATTTTTAAAGCTTGATTGTCCGTTCATGAGTCAAAAAGTATTTATAAAGTGTGAATTAATTAATAGATGATTGTATAATAAATGTTTTCATATTTTTATGTTTTGTGAAGTTAAGAATTTGTTCATTTTAGTTGAAGAGTAAGCACATCAAAGTGCTAAAAAAGACGGAGAAGGACATAAAAATAAGAGTTGTATTTTACAGAAAAAATGTTGGTGCTGTAAAGGTTTTATGCTTCTGTCGGCACAATTTAAGTCATTATGGAGGAGAGGTAGGCTAGTTCCCCCCAGCCCTGTATGCAAGGTCATCTTGGACTGTCTGAGAAAAATCCCTACAGAATTATACGGTGATTCTCAATAAGATACTTTCCCCACATGGGAATCACACTTGTATCTTTAGCATGTAAGCTAAGACCCTAACCATTACTATAGTAACATCAGCTCAGGTTTAATACACCTGACAGAAGCTAGAGACTCGTCATTGGAAAGTATGAGTATTATTTATTTGGTTGGTTGCACTTCCAAAACATGTATAAATATTTACATTACTCTAAGACTTTTGACATTTCCCCTAATATCTTCTCTATCTTTTTCCCTTCTCTTTTCTTCATTTAGCTCATCACTAGACAAAGTGCTCCTTCCGTACAAGAGTATTCTTATGTTTTTCATGATACTAATGGCAAAACCAACCAGTTGTTTCAAATAATGTGTCTGCTCTCCATCTCCAGATGCTCTGACACGGCCAATGCCTCTCATTTCACAAGTTGCAAGGGAGCTAATCATTCCCAAATTGAAACAAGTGAGATTCTGGATTATTACGATGTCAAGTGGTCATTTGCATCATACTTTTTGCCTCTGTTCGTGTTTATATTTGTCATGCGGACAGTGGGGTATATTATCCTCCGATTTGTTCACAGACCCACATCAGTGTGAGTCTATGGTTTTTCTAACTAATTGAGTTTAGAAAGGTTTAGTAAGAGTTTTATGGTGCTCCCAACTGCATGAAGTCATATGAGCGCGCGAAACACAAGTTGGTTGCAGTCACAACAGGTCACAACACAGCCTGACTTAGGTTAAAGATCAGATTACAACACTAAAAAATTTGTGGTAAAATAACGATCTAAAAAAAACAATTTACTTAAAGTTAAAACAACAGTAT